TAATAATAATAATAAAAAAGTAATAACATTCAACTACTAAAAATTAAACACTTATTATATTTTATGACGTTGATATTTCACCAACATGCAGATGGGTATAGTGCGGGAAATCCCTTAGATTTTTAATACCCGAAGGCTAAATGAAAGCATCAKAAACATTATCCTAAAATTCATTATTGGTGATCGGTATACCGTACTAAATGTTGTGTTTATAGGACATTTTTTATTCTTCGAATTCAATTTAGATAAAACCATAAAGTGAGGTAAATATTTTTTCTATAAAATGTTTGAATGATTATAATTTCTTTTGCTATTATTATACCCTGTAGTTTTGTAAAAAATTATTAGGTACTTAATTGTTTTTTTCGTTTACGAGAACAACTATTTACGATTTTTRAAAATCAATAATATTATTTAAATGGAGATTTTTTTTTTAATACAGATTTCCAAAACGTAGATCAAATAATTAGAGTTCAGATTAATAAAAATAAGAATTTGAGGTTTATATTATTATATTATTTATAATAATATGCTATAGTTTAATACAATAGACGCTACTTATTTGAYTTATTTTGGAACCAGAACATATTTGAGTCAATAACGTAATTGTTCCAAGAATAAAATGATAGGTATTCATATTTTTATACACACTAATTAATTTTGGCATTATACTTATAAATATTAATTATTATGTAATTCATTCATTTTAATAAAATATTATTACAAAAACATTTAAAAATAGATTTTTTTCTTAAAAATGTTGTTTCGTAATGACTTAAAGTTATTATTAATAAAGAAATGTATAAAAACGATTATACTTTTAGATATGATGAGTGATGAAATATTGTCGTCAAAATGTATTCGTAATATTTCATTAGAAATATACACCAACACTWACCAGTGTACCTACCTGTGAACAGTGTGAACTGTKTAATGAGTTTGATGGATGAATGTTTTTCTGAGTATTAATCGAGACCATCCTACCGYTTAAATCCATTATGTGAATGAGTTAATTAGGTGACTTAGGTGACCGTGAAACCATTAAGCGGCGTCAACCAACACCTAATTGTATTCATATCTTTGAAAATAAATGAGCTAAAGACTAGTACCTAACGAATTGCCATAAAAATTGTTATTATTTAATTTTTATGCAATATTTTATCAATGAATTGAGAACTATAACTATTATTATCCCGTGTTACATACTTGTCTTTTATTTTTATMATAATCATGATTATTAAAAATAATAACTGGTTATTGCTGCACCGGACTGTGTATTAGACATCTCCATTTGTATAAAATTAGCTTATCTAACGGACCAAGATGTACATTATTATTGCACCGAAATGTAAACAATATTATTCAGCATGCATTTTGAAAAAAATGGGAAATTGCCAGTTCTTGCGCAGAATCTTTTAATTCAAGRATCTTCATCTATATTCTATATTAGAACAAGTAAGAACTTCATTAAATTTTGAAAAGAAAAAAAAATTGTAATTTGTTTCAATTAGTTTATGCGACAATGACATGATATAATGTACTATTGCTTATGAAAGTATTATTTTTAAATTTACATATTTAAATCAATATTAATTGTAATTAAAGGAATTTAATATTTTTGATTTCTAATGAAACTTGGCGTATATGATATCCCCTAAATTTTAACTGCGGACGCTCTTAAATATTAGACTGGCAAGGGAAGTACACAATATAGTCTGTAATGTAAGTGAATTTCAAATCGYAATTTATTTTACTCCAACTTTGAGTTGGATAATCGTGGAAATAGTTGCTCGATTTTAAAAAACAATGAGAAAGTAAAAATGTCGGCTAGCTATTACATCGCGTGCATTTTTCGTATCATTAAGATACTCGTTTTGAATAAAATATATTATAAACCTACATCCAATTATACTTTTTTTTCGCCGATTCTTTTATTGTGACCTCGAGAATAAATTATTGATCACTATATAGTTATTCTTAAAATCGAAGAGAAATCATTGAAAGCAAGCGACTTGTTGAATTACCTCGAGTAGGTAAAAAAATAATAATATACGCGTCTATCTGTTGTTTAACAAGTAATTTAATATATTGTTTTGTTATACTTATAAAAATGACCGATTTTGGGATGTATAMAATTTACGGTGTACGTTTTCTATATGTTCATTTAACAAATATAAATTTAGTTTAGAGCAGTTTGTTCACGTTGAGCAGGTTAAGAGTTAATACTACATGRACAACATGGCTGGATGTCAATACATATATATATTATAAATGGTTAAATTAAATTTAAAAAATGCTATTTTCTATATTAATAAATTATTCCTATGGTAAAATTGTTATTCCTGCTTGCCTGCTTGCAATAAATTATTGAATCAGATAGTTATTTTATTACGCATAGGTACTCTCATAGTGCGGTGCACAGTTGTTATTTACGCCGTTCATTTGAAATTATTATTCTACGTTGTAGAAAAGTTGACAAATTATTTTAATTATAATATTATCAATATTATATTATAGTGACATGTTTCTAATACATTTCGTAAAATATTATTTTTTAAACGAATGTATAATTTTTAAACCACTTTTACGAGTATATGACAACTTGCGTTGATGTCGATAATCTTTTCAATAAAAATTACAATTAATCAGCATCTTCGATCATCGTAGCGTAGGTATATAGTGATGTAGTTTATTTAAAAYTCGAAATTCGTTTGAATTTAATTAATTATTATACTTTATAAAATATTTTAAATTTCAAACTGATTACATGGACGATTAACAAAAAAAAAAAACACAYCTTTCTAGAAGTTATTGATTTTACTAACTTGATAACTAATCTAGCTTTTAAAATGTTTGTAAATCGAACATATATACCAATTAGTATTAAATTTAGAAAAATAAAATCCATATATTACAATAGTATAATATATTGTATTCTGTTTGGATTTAAAGTTCATACAAAAATTGTATTATTTCCACTTTGTCTTCAACAACCAACAACACTTGGTATCTACCGAGCAGGTATATAATAGTGCGGATGACATATTATATAGTTATTTTCTTTGTTGAAATTAGTCTAATACGTTGTAGATGTATAGAAATTGAGCATAAAATGAATAGTTATTTTTTCGCGATGATTTGGAATTTGTTTCTCTAATATTTTTCCAAGTGCCAACATTGGAAAWTTCAAATTTGCATAATATGAATGTGCGATTGTACATCTACCACATAAACAATTCCTATTCGTAATAAATCAAAGTGATCGATGTTTTGCTAATTACTATCGTTATATTGTCATACAATATAYATATATTATATATAGCTTAGTAGGCGTGTATGTATAATAGTGCTATTACAGGTACCATTATTGCTATCGAATACATTCGTACAAGACAATTGCATAGGTTATGCGTACTGTAGTAATTACTACACTGCGATAATATGCAGTATTGCCTGTGTAAATATGTGGGTATTGTATTTTAACATATATGTTTATTTATGTGTGTGTGTGTGTATATAATATGTAACTACTATAATATACTAATCGTAATACACCCAATACGTGTAATTAATTTCACACCGTCCATCGTTGTCGCTGCACATGGGACACGCGTTTAACTATTATATACCTATTGCGAGCTATTATTATAATATAAATATATATAAAAATGATAGGTATGAGCAGTATATAATAATAATAATAATATTATAATAGGTATGCGGAATGTKAAAAACAGAAACTGTACGCAAGGCACGAGGAAGAATACTGTCGGGAAAATGCACGTTCTTACGTTTTTTATTTTTATTTTTTTACATAATATCATTTCCTCTTGACTTGCGCGAATCGCTGCGGGACGTTGCAGCTAATAACGAGACTTATTCATGCATTATCCCTTTCGCGATTTATAATAAATTAAAACGTATCCGTACAGACTATAATATGTACGTCATGTACCATATCGATAGTTAACTAAATAGATCGGTACATTACACGGCAAACTAAATCTCTGCACTCGTCGCAGTCGTCGTGATCTAGCGGGCGGCCTCGGGCATTGCCTCGTAGCCGCCGCTCGCTGCCG